AAATTTTTATTAAATTAAAAAATAAACATTTTCTACATACGAGACACAATGTTTCTGAAAGAAAAGCTAAATATACAGAAGCTTAAAAACAATTTAATTCAGTGTGAAATTAGCTGACAAATTAATAATATTTTATCCATTTTCGATTGAAAGTTATAACTTAGTTTCTTCGAATTAAGGAATATATGAAAATATTAACTTCTAGCGTTTACATTGACATTAGTACCCATGTGTATAAAACTGATGACACAAAACCATCACAGTACAACCAGTAAGCATGCGACACAAAAAAACATACGTAACATCAAGTCATTTATATTAATTACATACATGCAAATGATCTTATTTTCACCTTAAACTGCTAACTCTTTCTCTACACCACCATCACTATTACAATGTCACACATTCATCAACCAAATTACTCCAAACACAAGGAGCTATTCATGGTTAAAGAGGAGCTATTCTTTTCAATGTCGTGGTGGCCCGGAGTTTTAAGACCGCTTCTCATGCATAAGGGTGCGGGTTCGAAACCTACCAACGACAAGTACCAATGTGACTTTTTCCGAGTTATATGTACTTTCTAAGATTATCTAGACACCACTGGCAAGCGGTGAATTAAAACATCGTGAGGAAACCTGGGCTTATAATTTCTTATTATAGGTTTGTAATCGCCAACCCGCATTGAGCAAGCGTGGTGATCAATGCTCAAACTTTCTCCGTGTGAGAAGAGGCTTTGCTCAGCAGTGGGCATTTATAGGCTGTTGATGATGATTCTCTTCACTCTTCATGTCCTCTTTTAAAAGAGCGAAATTAAGAAAATGTACACCACCATCATCGACGTAATTGTAATGTGCGTGTCGTGTCATATGTCGTATATTCGTCTTCATTTTACGTCATTTAAATATCATATTTTTCATAATTCAGATCAGGTTAATGTAAAAAGCTGTAGGTGAATATTAATTGGTAGACAATGTTTAACAAAATACAAAATATTTAAAATTAAACTCGTGTGATATTTATTCATTTAATTTTATTCCGAAACTACAATTTTGTGTGAACGGCTTAAGATAGTCGTTACAATAAATCCAACAAACATCAATATCGGAAAATCTTAAAATACAAATACAATACTTTGAGAAAAATAGAATATCAAAAATGCCGACTGATTCCACAGGATAATGTAAAATGTGTAAGTTCAGTATATAAAATGCAAAGATCCAAATTTGATAAGGAGACATTAATATGTATCGGTAAATTGTATTATTAGCAAATATTTAATAGGTATGAACTGGCAGTATTAATGACTTATGTCCTCCATGGAAACTATATCAAGTCTCAGTTTTATGAATATGATGTACCTAATGTAATGTCACTCAACCAAACAGCAAATTTGTCCAACATTTTTACGAAAATATTCTCAGAATTTCCTTTCTCACTATCATCACATTTCTGAATATTATTTTGACTAAAATGAGTTTTTGAATTTATGTTCTAGATAAAAGGTAAAGTCTATAAAAAGATGATGACTGGAAGAACATTCAGACATTTACTATTGAGAAATATCATTAAACACTTATTATTATTGGAAAGATTCATTGAACGTTGAACTACATTTATCCATATTATTAAACCAAGGGGCTCCAAGCAACTCCGGGATGGCGTATAATACTTACAATAAGACATTCATGGAATGTCCCTATTAACACCTAGTAACGAAGATCGCCTAAATTACCGTAATAACTTTTAATCTTAAGCTAAACTAAACAATTCACATTTAATACCAAAAAAGCACTTAGAATGAATATATGTACTTTTAAATAAATAACACTTACTACGCAAATCATTATAATTAATTTTAAGCTCAACCAGGACGTCACTTACTCCTACAAATAAATATTTAATATTTATTTCATCTAGGTGCAGGCTGTTCAGTCGCCAGTGCTCTTTATTTGCAAGGTTAGTGACGATATTACAATTTGTTTTGAACACCTACTGGCTAAACGTAGTGTATCATACACTTAATCCAAAAGAGAGTTATTACCTCATCATTATCTTAGTACGTAGGTATCAAAAAAATACGTAGTCGTAGGTGTAATATTAACTTGAGCCTACTTACACATTCTCAAAAAATAAGAAAGATCGATCAAGTGGTCTTTACTGTTCAATCTTTCATTAAGGTTGCATTTATATCTAACAGAAGAAAATTCACTAAAAGTTACACTTACACATTTATGATAACAGATTAAAATCAACGTTTGTAAAGATGAGCAAAATTATTTCGATTAGCTTCGAAATCACCCTGTAGATTAAAAATATAAACCTAACTAACACACATAGCCGGGAAATTCTTACTTAATATTAAATTATTAAATAGAACAATTTAAGAGCGACTCCATTCCAGGCGAAAGCAATGTTTAAACGGGAATATTTGAGAACTAAATATAATTACATCACTCAAATCAATCAATCGTTATATGAATAGGAATGGCGAATTTAACTTTTTTTTTCATAAAAAGGATGCCTAATCCTCTGAACTAATTGTATAAAAGGGTGATTCTTTAAGTGCAAAAATAATCTTTTAGGAACCTTTTAAAGAATTTATTTATAAGAATGTGAGCTAGAATTGAAATTTAGAAAAGAACACTCCCATTAGTTAGTTTTTAATATTTCTTATGTACAATCAGAAACAAGCACTCGTCTAATTCGAGGGTCTCATATCGCTGAGCTTTAGAGCCTAAATATGACAACCACAGCTCATACTGATTGCTGTATCGCCATCCTTATTCTTATTCTCACAACATCAGTACCGCAAAAAATACATTAAATATTAATCGCTCTGGCGTCTATTTTAAATAATACATACTACTGCGATCGTATACCTGAGTAATACAATCTCGCCAAGGCTTTATGGTGATGCCGTAATTAATAATAATAATTAAAAATACGTACATTAACACATTATATGACAATTGGAAGTAAATTATAGAGATTATTACTTTCTATGTCCATCCAAGCGTTGCCGGGCGTAGGATAAGAAGCTCCTGGAGTTTGCAGGTTTACAGACGGGTCTGCGTGCTACCCAGAGGCCCTGGGGGTGGTGGTGGTGGCATGCAGGCTGCATCCTCAGAGCTCGGCCCCGGCAGGTCCAATCTGCTGCTGCTGCTCCCACCTACGTGAGTCTTCTCTTTATCGCTGAGATGTGTCATCGGGATCCCCTTGTTAGCGTCTGAAAACAGCGAAGTTGATAATTAGTAGTGGTTCATGAATTAGTCTTCATTGGTTGATTTGGATTCGTGTAACATTAACACGTTTACAGATATAATAACTTTGTGTGTTTTTTTATCACTAGCTATTAGATAGATTTTTTTTCTCAAAAAGGATTTCATTTTATTTTATTTAATAATAGAACTACCAAAGACTGCTTCGTTGCCCGAGTGGTCGCAAGTGTGGCAAGGGGTTTCAGGGGGTTCGATTCCCGGGTCGGGCCAAGTATAATTGGGTTTTTAAAAAATCTCATTAGTAGCACAGGTTGTTCAAATGTGTCCGGTATATGGCAATAGGCTCACCCCCTATTATATGGGACTCATAACATAAATAGTGAAAAGTGAATGTTACATTGTACAGTGGCATAATGTACAACTCTGCCTACCCTTTCGTGGATAAAAGGCGTGATGTTATGTTATGTAAATAGAACTACATTATCTAGATGTATCCATACCAACTATCCGTAATATTTCCGTAATTTTTTAAATTCCAATAACACACAAAGAAACCTTTGTCTAAAATGCTACGCCGTAGCTCGTAGCCGTAGCTACGGCGTAGTACGAGTTTGTCTTGTACGACGACTACAACTACGGCACCCATACCACTGAACGGTATCTAAGCATTTTACTTTAATTTGATGTTATAACTTCGTACTCACCTGAGTCTCGAACTTTGGTGGTCATCCCGAAGCTACAGTCCTGTCTAAGGGAACGCGCGTTGGGGTCTCCCTGCGTCTTCAACAGCTGGCTCTCCGTAATCTTCTTAATGATATTACTGAGTTTCTGCTTCCTATTGTTAAAACTTTCGTCGCTGTTCATTATCTGTAGAAAGAAAAGCCCAATATAAGTAAGAAGATGGCACACTTCGATGATCGATCGGACAAAATGGCGTCGTAAATATGTCTACTCAAGGTCTCTGATAAATCGGTCGAGTGGGTTGTGTAACAAGTTGGAGTGTCTAATAACGTAATACGAAGCTCGACTTACCACTAATCTTTCACTTGATCGCACACTCAACAGGTTCACTCGCGTGACGATAAGAACTTCTTTGCAAGAATGCTTCGTGCAAAGGGTTCTCGACGGCACACTTTATTTCCCAGGGACGTAAAACTATTTATTGATTGATGAACCGCGCAAGTGCAGTTACGTCGGCGGTTGAAGTACGTGGAACTTATGCGCTGTTTCACTCCCTCAATACGTAGAACTTTGTACGATCATTAAGTTTACAAGATGTCTGTATTGTTGGCTATTTTAGAACTTCTAACTAGTTTATGTAGCTCGGACATTTCGGTTTCCAGTTGGATTTAGATTTAACTTTTGAAGTTCATGTAGTAATTAATTATCAGTTACTTACTTCAGAAGTTTAACACGATGCTATTTTAATAGGATCTTGAACTATAAAAACGTTTTTATATAAAAGTTTTATAGCATATAAGCGTAAATTTTCTAATTTAAATTTATTCTAAAAGAAAGTATCATGACATGCTTGGCGCTAATGAAACTTAACTCAGATTTTGAGTATGATAAAATATGATTACCGAAAGCAATACATACATAGATTCAGTAAGAAATTGTTAATTCTTAAATGGCAGGGTCATCATTAAAGTATATAAATTTTATTGTAATACTAGCTGTGCCCGCGACTTCGTCCGCGTGGAATTTAACAAAAAAATTAATTCGTTTATTTTTTATTTTTTTATTTTAGTTATCATTTATTTTCAGTTTTTTGTATTAGCTTTATTGAAAAATTTCTTTATATACAATATTTGGTGTACGATTTTCTTGGGCTAAAACAACAACGCTACTGGCATTCCTCGCACGTGAACATGCCACGTATAGTTGCCCATGGGTAAAGCAACCTTTTGTTAAATCTATACCAGCTTTACTTAACGTTTGTCCTTGGGACTTGTTGATTGTCATAGCAAAACTGACATTGATCGGGAATTGCAATCTTTTGAATTCAAATGGCAAATTTGATGGTATTATAGGAATCCGTGGTATAAATACTATTTCACCTCTGCCGCATCCGGATATTATACGACCTTCTATAACGTTTCTTTGCAACGACACTACTCGCAACCTAGTACCATTGCAAAGTTTCGGCGGATTTAAATTACGCAATAGCATGATGGGCACGCCAACTTTAAGTTCTAGTTTGTGGGACGGGTAGACCAGGCACAATTATACTGTTTAAAAATTCTGTTGGGTAATTAACCACTTCATCCGGATTGCAAACTGTATTGATGGAAAGATATGTTTGTGATTCACCTGTTAGCTTATCTAAAATGCACTGATTAAGCGCAGTAACCTGGTCGTTCGTAGGCGCTAAAATTGATCTGTCACACAACCACGAATCTTCTTTGATATTGAGATTGTGAATATCATCATAAATACTATATATTAAAGTTTCAGTGTCCGCCACAACCTGACAAAGACTGGTAGGTAGTTCTATATCATGATTACTATTCACTTCTGGACACTTTCCCTCTCCAACATCAAGAAGAATTGTACTAAATTCTGAATCAGCTGAATGTGCTCTCATATTTTGTTTTAGATTAAGTTTTTTACACTGTCTCCAAAGTACTGAACGTTTTAAACAGGCGTTAATTTCATCGGCTCGCGTACCCTTACTTATAACCGGTAATATTTGTCTAAAATCTCCAGCGAATAAGAATACGACTCCTCCAAATAATAGATTATTACTTCTAATATCCTGCATCGTCCTATTCACGGCTTCTATAGAAATTTTGTTTGCCATAGTGCATTCGTCCCATACTACAAATACACAATCTTGTAGTACTTTGGCTTTGAGACTATTTTTGGGTATATTGCAGACTGGATTTTCCGCACGGTCTAAATCTAGTGGGATTTTAAACATAGAATGTGCCGTTTTTCCGCCAGGAAGTAAGGTTGCCGCTATGCCGGACGATGCGACTGCTATGGCAATCTTCTTTTCTGCACGTATTTTGGCTAGCAAAAGATTAATCAAAAATGTTTTGCCGGTACCACCTGGAGCGTCTAAAAAATACACTCCACCAGCATTTGCATTTATTTTATCAATGAGGAGTCGGTAAATTTGATTTTGTTCATCGTTTAGTCGTGGTTCATTATGATTTATAGTATTTTGAAGTTCAACTGGGTCAAAATTTGTATGTTCAATATATTCTTTGTATAAATTTTCATCAATTTCATCAGTCGCTTGTGGAGATGGTAAACCATAATGAGGGAGAGAATTGCCGCCTATCGAAAGAAGAATGTCTTGTAATGCAAACAAAGCTCTAATTGTAAATACGTCTAAATGAGAATTTATGTCTGCATTCGGGTAATGCCGTTGGAAATCTCTTACATAATCATCTGAATACGATCATTATTTAATCTTTGCTCTCTAGAATGAGATGATTCTAGACTTCGCGAGACAGCGTTGAGCCCTTAACAATGAATGACGCGTTCTATCTAACTGTAATCGTTCATTTCTCTCAGAACTACTCTCATTCGACCTAGACATGGACATCCGTAATCTACAATTTGTAAGACGACTTTCCCTATCTTGTTCAGATTCATTTTCACGTAGCAATCTTTGGCTTTTGGCCTTTTTCGTGTTTTTAGAGAGATTTGACTTTCTTTTAGGCATAACTAATGGATCCAACTTAACCTTTAACTACTGACGTGGGTGTCTCAAGACGGCGTGTTCACGAATATAAGAATTTTCCAAAAAAACGTCCGAATAATTGTATTGTAGCTAAGATTGTAACTTATATTTTTTTAAGTTATGCGAAATATTTATATTTTAAGTTTATAGAATTTGAATCAGAAACCGCTGATTTTATCCGAGAACGTTGTATTTTTTGCACTTCCTTAATAGAATTATAATAGACCGATCAGAATACAAGTAAATATTGTGCAAATCAGTAAATAAAAGTAATCCATTTCGATTAATTATTAAGGTGTTTGACATACGTCACGTCACCGTTTATGGTATGAGTAAACCACGTCAGGACTTGAAGGTTAAAAATATTAATTAAAAAAAACAACTATCTACGTTACTAAATAAAATAACCTATAAATATAAAAAAAAATATTAATTAAAAAAAAGAACAACTATCTAAGTTACTAACTAAATAAAATAACCTATAAATGTAAAAAAAGAAAAGCAGTAAAATGTAACAAAATATTTTGAATGAATTAAGATGAGATTAGAAGAACGGATCAGTGGAATTATCAAAGTTACTTATCAATCAAATCAAACTATCAATCAAAAGTATAATAAGAGCACCGGAAACCATTAATTTCTAAATGAAGTCGTCGAGACACAACCTTCAGCAATAGCCCGCTCGCGCGTTCTGAGCCCGCGCGATAGGCAGCCTTTGTGATAATGTTTCGTTGGTGGGAGAAGTGGTGGGGAGCCCGCGCGACAGGCAGCCTTTGTGATAATGATTCGTTGGTGGGAGGCGTCCGATGCGACGACACAGTGGTGGCATGCGCGTGAGCTGCGCGCGGAACTGGACAGTACTTGAACATTTCAACATAACTTTATTTTTCTAAAATAAAAGAATTTTTCTAAAATAAAAGAATTTTTCTAAAATAAAAGTAGCCTAAGTTACTCCTTATTACATAAGCTATCTGCCAGTGGAAGTCCCGTCCAAATCGGTCCAGGCTTTCCAGAGATTAGCCGGAACAAACAGACAGACAGACAGACAGACAGACAGACAAAAATTGTAAAAAAATATATTTTAGTATGTGTACCGTATATACATTCATATGCATGTAGTGGGAAGCAGTTATTTTAATATTACAAACAGACACTCCAATTTTATTTATTTGTATAGATTTATGATAAGCATACACTAGAGACCAAAAGGAACACTTTACGTTGAAACAGATTGCTGAATTCGAAAAATAGCTTTTTATTTAATGGCTGGATCAATTTTAAGGTACCTATAAATAGTTACAACAGGCTTAGTTTTCTCGACTAGTTTTTAGTTCACTACCAGTTAATAGGAAAATCAAAAATAATGTACCAGATACTATAAAATTCCTAGTTAGAGTAAAAAAATGTTAACAGAACCCAAATATCATTTAATTCGTTCTATATGTCTATTATAATGTTTTGTAATGATAGCGCAGGGTGTTCAAAATTATTTTAGTATCTAGACTATCCTTTTTTTTTTTGAGCGGGGTAATCATCCAATGACTTCTCCCGCCTGGGTGAGGCGGGAGGAAGTGTCAGACTCTTACTGACTAAAAACCACCCCGTTCCTACACCTGCACTTCGAACCGGAGCCCCGGCAACCCGTTAAGTCTTCCGCGGCTCCGTATCGGCCAGCCTTGTTAGGCCCCATCTGTGGTGGTCTGATGGCTCCTTGAGGCGCGCGCGGAACGCGACGCGCCGTACGCACGGGCCTGGTTCTGGTCGGGCGGCGAGTCACCCATGCTCGCCGTCCGCAGGCCCGTGCTTACGGTGGCCGGAGATCGTCTCGCGATCCCCGACGCCCGGAGTGTCTCTCGCGACGGCCGGGTCGTGAGGAGGTTCGTTCCCTCACGCGCTCCGCCTCCTCCTTAGCTAGCATGACTGCTTCTCAGAAGGAGGAGACGGCATCCTAGTCCCCCTCGCTCCGTACCATGGTCTGAACCAGAGCCGGACGCGAGAGGTCGCCGTCGCCGATCACATTCCTGAGGACACGGCGGTGCTCAGTCCACGCAGGACACACCGCCACCGTATGCTCCATCGTGTCCTCCGGGCGATCCTCGCAGTGATGACACCCGGGCGATCTAGACTATCCTAGGTAATATATACTATACTATACTACATTTATTTATTTAGTCTTTTATGTACACAATTTGATTACACAATGAGACATGAGGCGAACTTAATGCTATATGGCATTCTCTGCCAGTCAACCTTAGGGTTTAAGTAGAAAATCTGCTGTTTTAGTAAAAAATGTGGTACGGAGAATAAACTAACAGCAGAAAAAAATAAGGTACAGAGAAAAAATATGGAGGTAACGTTCACTTTCTGTAAATATTACACCGATATGCCATTTCTGCCACTCTCTCTTCGATACAAAATTGTATGTATAATACTTCTTTCTCCGTACGTGTTTCGATTGTATGCGACATCTAATTAAGTTGCAGTTTTCACCATTTAAATCACAGGCACTGAGTCTCCGAAAATTTCGATTTTATACACACTCGACCTCTTGATATGGTCGCTACTATACGATCAAGCTATTTTGTAGTGATATGTACCCACTGCAAATAAAATCAGTTCCTCTTCCATCTCGGGAAGTCCGCCAATTCTGTGTCGTTTGCTTCAACCATACAAGTGCCGTTCTTAATCGGTTGCTATTATGCAGAAACACGTAATCTGTTAAAAGATTTGTACATCTTAGTGTGTATTGTTTCAATAAACTGTTCTGTGTTCTGTTGTCTTCATACGGCTCTTGGAAACAATTTATAATTGCTGCGGCGATTTTGCAGTCCATCAAGTAGGGCTAAAACCATATAACGGAATATTTTGAAGCCTCTCTTAAACTTTCCATTGATTATTTCTACGACCCATCTACATAACGCTATTATTGACCTCTTCGCGTCGTTCGCGTAAGTTTCAAGAGTAGTAACGGCATCGCAGATTCCTCTGTCAAGAGTAGTAACGGCATCGCAGATTCCTCTGTCAACTATACATACAGCGTCCTGTTCAAGGAAATAATATTAATGATAGCATCGAACTTTATAATTATTTACTTCCTTCTTAAAATAATATTTATGTAAACTCATATGATACATTAATATTCATATGAAAAGTGAACTATAATTTTCCTTGCAACATAATCAAAATTATCTGTACAATATCTACGCACGCATATCTACATCACGCTACTTACACTTTACTGTATAGAGAAAACGATGTGTTTGGAAGTTAA